TTTCGTCTATCAGCCCCTCGGAGACTTGTTTTTTCGCACTTCGAAAAAATTTCCAAATTGTCACGGCAATCTATTTCAGCATACATTCTTTACCTAAGGCCTGTTTTATTTTGTCCTTCCAGAGAGGCCCAGTATCTAGTGCCGACTGACTCGCGCTTAATAGTCGCTCTAGGCGAAGTCTACGAAAGACAGAATCGCTTAGCTGAGGCCAAGGCTTGCTACTGGCGGGCATATTCCGTCGGCGACATTGAAGGTGACTCTCTTATGCGCCTGGCACTCTGCTTTCTTGGTTGTGGCGAAAAGGCAGAAGCTGCGGCTGCCTATACAGAATTTATCCGTCTCTCTGAGCAGCGTGGCGTAAGTTTTGATGCTTTGAACCCACTTATAGACTTACATCCTATTCTTTTACGTTATTTGACCAAAAATTTATTCTTTTTTATACCTCATCTATTTCGAATATTAAATCGAAGTATTATTCAGTGTGGCAGCTGAAACTATCTTTCTATTCCTCATTCTTGATAACTATGACAAATCGTACATTTTAGGATTTCATTGTCTTATCTTATTTATTTTATTAATTTATTTGATCCATGATTGATTTATTTTAGGCTGCTTAGTTTATCCTTGATCCACTACTATTAATATTTACTTTTCACATTTTATATCCCTTTATTTTGGGCTTATTATTTTTCCATTATACCTTTATTCCGTAAATTGTTTATGTAGTCGAGCAAAGTGATGTGAGCATAAAAACTTTCGTAGCTATTACGAAATACATTTGTTATTCATTTCTAACTGGTATTTAAAGCTTATCTTATTGTTAAACCCTTCTATTTTTTTATTTTGGTTATCTAGCATATTTATATCAAGTTCAAATAGTAAAAGATTTCTAAATTAATACATCTGGTCTATTTAAATTAATTGATATCTCACCTTAATGAAATAGTTAGTTTCTAATGCTCTAAATTCACATTCGTTTTGTATTTAAATTTTGTTTATTTGAAGATATTTCATTTTATCTTGCTCGGATTTTCCACGTTTATAATCTTTTTGGAGCATTTGTGAAGCATTCCATGAAATCAAGTGTTAAACCAACACTTTTATGTCGATTTCTTTGTTTGCGATAAGGCCATATTTTCTAATTGTTAATGTCTTTCATTTGTAGTTAGAACATTTTCTTTAATATCTACACTGGGTTACCTCAAGTAGATGACACATCTTATTTCTAAGGCTCAGCTCAGTTTTTATTATGGTTTTATGGTTTTGTGAGTTGTGTTCACCCTATTTCGTTTAAGATGATGAAGGACTGGTAATTGAATCTTCCTACAATTATGAATACAGTTGACGCTTATATTGAATTTCACAGCCTTGCTTTCCCAAAAGGTGTTCTTATCCAGGAGGGCATGCAGTTTCAACCTTGCACAGATCTTTTCAACACCCCCAGTGTGAGTTGAACCATGACATCACATAAAGCATTGCCATTGATTGCTATAGCAAATATAAGATTGCTCCTTTTGACACTTCTAACATAATGTAATATGGAAAATGCCTAACCTTCCTTCAAATTCACATCTGCTCTGTGGCCCAAGGGCACTCGTGATAATGCGGCGTAGTAGCTAACCTATCGAGATTACACACTTGACTGTCATGGTTAGACTCCAGCTAGGGGTGTTGATAAGACCTTTGGGAAAACAAGGCTATATGGAATTCTAAGAAACGTCAGCTCTGCTCATATTATTGTGGAAAAGTTAAACTACCAGTCCTTCATCACCTTAAACGAAACAGGATGAACATAACTCATATCTTTTGTTTACTGGTAGTCCCTAAAACCTGCTCACTAACGAAACAAGATATGGTTTTATTTTAGCGATTTGATTTGCTTATAATCATCCTTTAAATTTTCTTTTAAAAGAGTAGACGTTCCCACCAACGCATTTACTTCAATTGTCAGGATAAGGTTTAATCGATTTGCACTGGGTCTGCATTACTTATTCTTGCACATTCCTAAGCATCTGTTGGTATCTGACTAATAGGAGTATGACAAGAGGCCTGAGTTAGAAACGGTTGATGATCTTGATGATTAAATAAGAAAACGAGCAATGTAGTTGAGTCTTTATCAAAGTATTAAGATGCACCGTTGTGTGGAGCTAATATGTAGGTTGTTTGTATGCAGAGAAGTGAAGGGGATACTTGCAGGATAGGTTAACGGCATTTGGGCCATTGAGAATGTGCTACCTATTGGAAGAGGCGCAATGCGGAGGCGCGGCATTTTTAGAAATCTTTGGACAACTTCCTCTTACTACTAGAGAGCAAGTATGGTCTTGTCAATATAATTATAGAGTTAACGACATAGTAAATTGAGGATTTTGTCCTAGCTTCGACTCTGGGTAAGTACGGTCTTCCCTATGCGGATGTCCAATCGACTATCACATTAAAGATGCGAGGCGTGAAGCGGCGCACGTAGGTGGCACACATTATAGGATACATGTAAGAAAACGCCTTCGTTCCAAAGAAAGTAGTGTTGCAAAGCAGCGCCCAGCAGACGCCTTTGCCCCTATATATCAGTACAATTAAGGCTACGATCCACGTACAAGTATATTATTCGAGAATTTATCCTCACATTAGATTTGATCTTAAATGCAGAGAATTGATGTACACCGAAGTTAAGACAGCTGTTTATATTTGAGTATTTAATGGGAACGTTGGAGTTGATCGATGACATTCTTGTAAGATATGATAATTAAATAAACGTTTAATCCACCCATATTTTTTAATATGACATAAGAGCTGGGGAATACTACTCTGTATAGCTATAGGTTAATTTTGGCTTCAATCTGCCCTTTACATTTCATCCTAGGTACATAACCAATACCATCTGTCTCAGGCTTATAAGTATCTGGCTGGCTATCACTTCGAGTCTGGTCACTCTGAAGACGTGCTGGTCGCTGCGAACAAATGTCTCGAGTTCCCAGAGACTCGGGAGCAGGCGAAAGCAATGCTCCGACAGATTGCTTTACTAACTCGCGAGACTGAAGAAGAAGAAGCGGGGGAAGAGAGACAGCAACAACCTCTTCCAGGACACCATTACCAAGGTAGTGTAACTTCCTACATTGCTCCTCCGTCCAAGACCGGTAGCGAAATGGCTCACCAAGGGGTGCCGCCAATCGGTGTTCCTGGTCAGAAAGGTCAATTGAGAGACGCGATGGAAGCATCAGAAAGCTCAGAGCGGATCGAATGTGGGTCATAACTTTCTGCTTTTTGTCAAAACAATGAACATTTAGCATTTTTGGATATTAAGCTAAAATGTTATGCTAGCTTAAAGATCCTACTTAATCAATTAAGCTATATCAAAGCCATAGATATTATTCTACGTAAAACGCAATAATTCTTGACAATATTTTCGCGAGTCTTATTCCAATAAAAGAAAATATTTTGGTTCAGCCCCGTTTCCAACTTGTTCAGGGCGAGAGAGATCATGTAAGACATGTCTAAGAATTCATGATAATTACCAGCTCCGGACCGTTGACTCATTCTCAGACTTTTCTATTTGTTGATTTCTCTGTTCGTGTTTATTTCCTTCGGCATTTCTTGCAGTGTCCCCTTGACTTAAGCTGTTGTGACCTTTGCTACCAATAAACCGTTCTGTTCCCATTTTTCATCCATCACCACCGTGACATTTCTTTTCGAGGATTTTTTTCTGGAAATGGTTGTTCAAAATGAAAAAAAAAATAACACACGGATCCTGATGAGAAACTGGTAGATTGGACGACACGGAAGGACAGCAAGGGAAAAATGGAAAGACGGTTGTTGTTTAGTCTCCTATGCAATACCCCGGAAGCTGTCTGTTTCTATGCGAAGAAAAGTTGGGTTTCAAGGAATCTCTTCTTTCATAATTGTTAAGCTTACTTCTATTTCGATTGAAAGTGTTGAATGAAGAGATTCGAAGGTCGGCTCCACCAGAAGACGACGGCGGATTCCTCTTGACCAGGTGTCGATTGGCTTTACTGGAAGATTCATGCTGACGCTGTTTCCGAGGTAATCATCTTCGATTCCGGTGAAAAGGTGCTAAGCTTTCGTCCGTCATATGACGGAGTCAAGAAAACTCGACTCGTTAGCTTGAATTTTGTTGTGACAATACCTCGCTCTGATGATGTCCGTCATATGACGAACGAAGGCTTAGCACCTTTTCACCGGAATCGAAGGAGATTACCTCGGAAACAGCGTCAGCATGAATTTTCCAGTAAAGCCAATCGACAGCTGGTCAAGAGGAATCCGCCGTCATTGTCTGTTTCTAATTAAACGGAAAGAAAGGAAAGCGCTCTTTGCAAGCTCTCTTACACAATATTAAAGAATTCATCAAAATAGAAGACGCTCTGACGCTTACTGCATAAGTTACAAGGACTGTGAACGAAATGTCTTCATAGCTATGTGAAGGACGATAAGCACAAGGATTAAGGGACTCCTGCAACTTTGTAGAATCATGGACGCAGAAAGCTTGGGTATAGCCGAATAGATTGCACTGACGGGTCATTATTGACTGGAGATGCTAACCTAATAAGGGTGAAATACAATAAAACGGAAGATCATGGGAACTGTTTGAATCCTGTTTTACAGTAGCTAAATGAAGATCGAGTGAGATACGAGAATACGGGATAAAGATACATGAGAGGAATCAGGACAATGATGGGTTAACACCATAACCTTAAGGCAGAATTTTGGTCATAGCTTGATCTCACTTTTTGCCAGCCAACTGTGGCTTAGTGCTAAAGTTGGCACTAAAGTTAACATAATGTCTGGGAATGTACTCGGTTAATGATTCAATGGTGCAAAACACATGACATCAAATGTAGGTGACACAGTACGGACTGTGTTCATCGAAGTCTATCTAAAACTCTACCAAGTTGCGAAAATCAAGTTATGTCAGCTAGTTAGCTTAAGGTTTGTTAATATGAACTCTTGGTAGACTTAAATAAATGGTTTTGCGTTTTCCATTTTAACCTCAGACCATAAACTTCTCGAACCAGTTGATCTTAGCTCGACCAGTGCTGGTCTACAGGAATGGACTTTACCGGTAAGTGTTCCTCTATTTGTCAATAAGGTATTATAATTGAATGCTTATACATATATACAAACCTCACATTTTTGCCTGTTAAAAGTATCTTATTGTAGATTTCATTATATCCGTAGATAGACCTTTTTTGTCAATTCATCTTTGTTTATTTAAAAAAATGGGATACTAGTTACCTACCACTTAAGTCACTATGTGTCATTTTTTATTTCCCAAGTACTGCCAAACAATAGTGAATTTTTTTTAAATCCATCTACTTCAATATGATTGATGTATTTGGTTAAGTAACGCGCTAAAGCGGCTAATAGTACGTTAGATCGTAGATAAGAAGGCCAAGATTGTGTGGCCTTTGCTTGTCCGCAGTCTCCTTTAGCTTTATAGTGTTGGTTCGACCTCGTTTTCGCAACTTAATCGTAACATCAGGGAGACCTTGTGGAACGTACCCAGTTATGCGTCCTCTGTGTTCGTGATTTACAGCATCGGACCATAAACTCTGTACGCTCTCAAACGTCTCGCCGGCATTGCTAGTGAGAGGTGCCATTTTTAGTATCGAGTTAAAACTTATCTAAGTGGAGGCAATCCCCATAAGCAATTTTCTGTTCATCCATTGTGGCATCACTTGTCGCCCCTATCTTTTGTCCTACCTTCTAGTGCTACATTTTTTTCTCTCAACCCCACTTCAT